TATTGCTGCTGTTGCTGCGGTTGGTGCTGTTGCTGCTGCTGCTGCATCCGCTTCTGATTCTGATGCTGCGCTTGCTGGAACATGTTTTGCGGAGCCGTGGAGAGCTAGGGTGTTACGTTGCGCTGCTGCTGCTGCTGCTGCTGCTGCTGCTGCTTTCAGGGAGAAGTGTACGTGTACCTGGACACTGACGGCCTGATGGATGCAAAGGAAATCGACCGGCAGTGTCGATTGCCTTCGACAGTGCCATCTGCTGCTGCAGCAGCAAGGCGCCACCAGCACCTGCGGCAGCAGCAGCAGCAGCAGCAGAAGCAGCAGCAGCAGCAGAAGGCCCCCTGCGCTGATGACGACTGGGAGGAGGTCCCCTCGGCGTCCTTCTCCCCCGCCGATGAACACAGCAGCAGCGGCGGCAGCGAGAGCCCCAGTAGCAGCAGCAGCAGCAGCGAGTTCAATGGAAAGACAAGGAGTGAGGAGGAGTTCGGCCCTGGCTGCTGCGACGAGTCCGGCAGCCCCAGCCCGACTTCAGCAGCAGCAGCAGCAGCAGCAGCAGCAGCGGGTCCCGCGGCAGCAGCAGCGGGTCCCGCGGCAGCAGCGGCAGGTTCAACAAGAGCAGCAGAAGCGGAGGCTAGGGAGAAGGACCCTTTGAAGGCGCCTGCGTCGCCGCGGTGGGCGAGCGATAGGGACAGCAGCAGCAGCAGCAGCAGCAGCAGCAGCAACGGCAGCAGCAGCAACCGCTCATCTGGCGACACCTCCAGTCGGAGAAGTTTGACGGTCGATTTTTCATCGGGTCGAGGATGCCCAGCAGCAGCTGGCTCTCCGAGCCCCGCTGCAGCAGCAGCAGCCGTTCCCGCTGCAGCAGCAGCCCCCAGCGCAGCAGCAGCAGCCGCAGCAGCAGGAGCGATCCCGAGCGGCTCCGCCCGCCGCACGCGCACGCCGACGGCGTTCCCGAGCGCCGCGGCGGGCGGCGCAGCCCCCCCCCCCCGCAGCAGCAGCCGCAGCAGCAGCAGCAGCAGCAGCAGCGGGGAGTGGCTGCGGGGCTGTTTGCTGCTGTTCCCGCTGAAGGTGAGCAGCGGCGAAGGCATCCACGAGGGCTGCGTGAGGCCCCTCGTCGCCTACATGTCCCTCCCCTGGTCTTTGGGGATGATCGCGGGCCGCGGGCAGCAGGCCTTCTTCTGCATAGGCTACCAGGGCGACTGCATGCTGTACCTCGACCCCCACTCCAGGATCCAGGTGCTGCTGCTGCTGCTGCTGCTGCTGCTGCTGGGGAGGGGAGGGGAGGGGAGGGGGGGGAAGGGAGTGCGGAGTGCGGGGAGGCGTGGTGGGGGGTCGTGGGGCACGCTGGGCTGGCTAGCGAGCTGCTGCTGCTGCTGCTGTGGTGCTGCTGCTGCTGTGCTGCTGTGCTGCTGCTGTGCTGCTGCTCCTGCGGGGGGAGGGAGGGGGGGACAGGTCGCAGCGGGGAGGGGAACGCAGCTTTTGAGTGGTGGTTTTGAGTTCACAACGCACGCCGATTTCGCCAGCGAACTGCTGCTGCTGCTGCTGCTGCTGCTGCTGTGTGTGGCTGCAGTCGCCCGCGTTGGAGCTGGGTTTTGCAACGCAGATGTCTCTCTTCGGCAGCAAGCCGTGGAAGCAAGGCCTGGGCCACTTGAATGCTTCTTTTGCGTTGGCTTTTTATGTGGGGTCTCCGCTGCAGCTGCTGCTGCTGCAGCAGGAGCTGCAGCGGATAGAGCAGCAGCACCCCTCCTGCTGGCTGCTGTCTGCGGGGAAGCCACACTCCCAGCTGAAGCCGCCGAAGCGCCCGAAGCCCCCGAGACACCGGCGACACCCGCAGCAGCAGCAGCAGCAGCAGCAGCAGCAAACGGCTTGCGAAGCCAAGTATGCCTTCCGTGGCGGCCGCTGAGTCGCAGCTGCACAGACAGACGCGCGGACTGCTGCGCAAGCCGCCGCCGCCGCTGCTGCTGCTGCTGCTGCTGCGCAGCAGGGGCCCCACACCTCCGCCTTTGACTTGTTTGCATGCGCTGTGGGGTATATTTGGGGCGTTTTGCCCGGGGTTTGCTGCTGCTTCTGGGGCTTCTTTGAGTGTCTTTAAGAACTCTTTCTTTGTCTTTAAAAAGTCCTTTTCAGCTGTCCTTGCGCGCCTTGCTGCTGCTGCAGAACAGCTTGCTGCTGCTGCTTTGCTTGCTAAAGACTAGCAGCATGAGTTTGTGTCTTGCTGCTGCGGCTTAGTTCCCTTTCCAAGCCAGAGAGGGCGGCGCCCACGACGGCAGCAGCAGCCAGAAGCCAACAGCCAAAGGTGAGAAGCAAATACAAATCCAGATAGCTAGCGAGCTAGCTAGCTATTCAGCTAGCTAGCTAGCTAGCTAGCTAGCTAGCTAGCTAACTAGCTAGGCAGGCGACAAGGTGAACAGGCAGGTAGACAGCTAGCTACCTAGCTTGCTTGCTATCTAGCCAGCTTGCTAGCCAGGAGGGAGGCAGCTATCTGGACAGCTAGCTAGGCAGGTAGCTAGCTAGCTAGCCAGACAGGCAGCTAGCCGGGCAGGCACGCAGGTGTTAGCTAGCTAATTGGTAGCTGCAGCAGGGGATTTATAGGGAATTTGCTGTCAGTGGGGTGTTTGTGCTGCTGCTGTTGTGGCTGCAGTTGCAGATCCCACTGCAGCAGGGGCCGGCGCCGCCGCAGCAGCAGCAGCCGGAGCTGCAGCAGGAGCAGCAAGACAGCGAGCAGCACCAGCAAAAGAGAAGCTGCTTGAGCCTGGCCTTGCCCTCTTGTGTGCAGCCGCTTTGCCGGGCGCCAGACTTTCCCTCTTCGAACGAGTCGTGGCTGTTTGCCCCGCAGCAGCAGCAGGAGCAGCAGCACCAAGAGCAGCAGGAGCCGCCCCAGCAGCAGCAGCAGCAGCAGGAGCAGCAGGAGCAGCAGCAGGAGCAGCAGCAGGAGCAGCAGGAGCAGCAGCAGGAGGAGTGCCGCGGGGGCCTCAGGAGGCACATGTGCCTCACCATTCCCTCCTCCCCGCTAGACAATCCGCAATCTTCTGAGGGCTTCGTGCTGCTGCAGACAAGAGGACAAATCAGCAGCAACCAAACTTCTCCAAGACAAACAGATTTGCTGACGGAAAGAACTTTGGCTTGTTTGCTGCAGGTGTCGCCGCAGGAGTGGGCGCAGCTGCTGCAGCCCCGCAGGGCCATAGAGTGCGGCGGCGCCTACGCGCTGCCTGCTGCAGCAGCCGACGGCTGCTGCAGCAGCGGCAGCAGCAGCAGCCGCGGCTGCAGGACGCGCAGGGGCAGCAGCTGCAGCAGCTGCAGCAGCTGCAGCACGTTCCAGTTTGCTTCCCCTCGCCCGCCAGCTTCAGCTGACGTTTTATATGCTGACGAATTCGTCTCAGTGCCTTCCCCGCCTCTCAGCAGCTCGAGGCGTTTTCTGCTGCCCCCGGCCCCTGCTCCTGCTGCTGCTGCAGCACCTCTGCAGCAGCAGCACCCCCACCAAATGCAGCTCATGATCCTACCCCAGCAGCAAACACTGCTCCAGCGGATGCAGAAAGAATGCACTGAACTGCCGCCACCTCTGAGCAGCAGCGGCAGCACCAGCAGCAGCGGCAACCACTCGGGTTCCCCCGAGCAGCAGAAGCAGCAGCAGCAGCGAGACAAGCAGCAGCAGCAGCAGCAGCAGCAGCAACAGCAACAGCCATTGCAGGAGCAGCAGCACCCCAGCGGCGCTGCCGGGATGCTTCGCTCCCTATTTTCGCTCTCCTTCCGTGGCTATTCCAAAGGAACGCCTGTTGCAGCTGTCTTTCCTGCCGCAGTCAAGGAGCCAACAAACAGCAGCAGCAGCAGCAGCAGCAGCCGGCAGGAAGCAGAAGCTGCCTTGTCCCCTCGGAGCAAACAACAGCTTGATGTTCCTTCAACGAGTGCTGTCACTCCAGAAGAGCCTCAAGGGACCTGCTGCTCTCCGTCGAAAGTGCAGCAGAGCCGTGTCTCAGGTAAGACGCAGCAGCAGCAGCAGCAGCAGCAGGTGGCTTCCCCCATGTCTGGTGACGTCTTTGCTGGTGCGGCGGGGCCTGGGCACAAGACTGGAGCAGTAGCACTTGAAGGAGCCCCGAGCCCAGCAGCAGGACTTGAGGATGCAGCAGCTGTTGCTGCGGCAGAGCCAGCAGAAGCTGCTGCTGCCGGAGCAGCAGCAGCCACTGCTGCAGCAGCGACAGTCCCTGAAAAGCAGACATACAGGACTGTGCGCCCCCTTTCCAGCAGCACTGTTGAGGAACAGCTGCAGCAACTCGAAGAGCTGCAGCTGCAGCTGGAGCACAAAATGAGTGTGCGGCAGCAGCAGCTTCTGCGGCA